GTCAGCAGATGCGAAAGAATAAAACGCATGGACGTTTTTGGATCGTCACCTGATAACCTAGTGACCATTGCCATCTGTAATAGTAACAAATTATTAAATTCATGTCAATGACTTACAAATCTGTCCCTGGTTTCTTCCTGCGACAAACCAGTATCTAGCATCTGTAGTTCCTCTTCAGATGACAAAGGGAACTGCTGACTTGACAGTCCGCAATCGAATTCATGCGGTCTTTCGCGCTCATTAGACTTTGAAAGCAATTGGTTAACATTAACATTCAAGTTCGTAATGGCGGACGACATGTTGTTAATCGTTTTAGTCAAGTCATTGATAGCTGACGAAATCTTCAGCACCACAGTATACAACCTATCACAGGTGAAAAAGGTCACTAGATGATGCAGTTTACTTACTGGTCCAATACAGCGCCACCAACATGCTTACATTCCGATGTGGATGGTGATGTCTCTAATTGTGTTGAACTAAATAGTGAATATCTAAATAGTAATTAAACGTACTTGGCGATTGGAGATATCACTTTGTCGAAAACACGAAATTTGGGATATTGTACGCGGATATTCCCAGCCTGCATCTCAGCCACATCCATGTCTACTGAATTGTAAAGAAAATCTTCTTTACGTTTCATTACACCTCTAGGAAATGTTAGTAAGATTATTGTACAGAACTCTTGGGCTTCTCAGTGTTATGTGGCAGAGTGTTTTCATCCGTTGAAGTGTTTTCAAGGTGAGATTGCAGTATTTGCAGGGAAGCTAACAGATCTTTTGCAGACTGCAGAGATTCTATAGTGAATTATAGTTTCCATGATTGTAGCTTACCTAATTCATGAATAACTTTACACTTCATAAGTGACCAATTGTCATTAGGTTGGTCGCACTTCTGAAGGTGTATATCGACCATCTCATTCGGAAAAGCGCAAAGGTCATTGCCAACTATCCAGTCCTTTGATGCTATCATAAGTTGTTTTTTTTAGGGCGTCAACAATAACGTATTTCTTGTTAGTGGGCTGAAAAGAACATAAGACGTAAGTAAATGGTTTATAATCATTAATTAAACACTAATGAAACGAAATGCATTTACAATAAAGTATGCAACAATGGGATTACAACTATGTAATTGGTACAATTGATGGCTATACATTTACAATCAATGTCCTTAACTGAAACCCATGTGTATTCATGGCTAACTACGGAGCACATAAAGATCCCAATATCACTAGATGGGAAAGGATCTTCAAAGTAATTGCGTGGGTCAATGAAAGTCCTAAATTTTAGTAGTCCATCCTCCTTTATGTCAGTAACTAAACCGGGCTGGCCGTTAACTACTACTACATTATCCGGTTTATATGAACTTATTTTGCTGTTGTTAAACATAATTACTTGTTTAATGGAGACATCATTAGCGCCTATTGTGGTAGTATTTGTTAAACCACTAATTTGAAGCCTATCCCTGAAGGACATTCTCTCAGCATAACGCTGTGCTGCTTGCTTAGCTACTGCAAACCCACCACGCACGGAATTCTTAATTTGTCTCATATAAGACTCGAATGGAAAGGCTGAAAAACTATCTAAAGGTCCATGTGCACGAACGTCGTCAGGGAGGTGCTGTAACGAATGCACATTGTAAACTAAGTTTTCACACCCATAACACCATGCGTATTCATTTAGGAAGTTTAGTAAATCTAATCCGAAATTCATAAAAATGTTGTAGAAACCGCCAAATTAGATTTACTAAACTTCCTAAATGAATACGCATGGTGTTATGGGTGTGAAAACTTAGTTTACAATGTGCATTCGTTACAGCACCTCCCTGACGACGTTCGTGCACATGGACCTTTAGATAGTTTTTCAGCCTTTCCATTCGAGTCTTATATGAGACAAATTAAGAATTCCGTGCGTGGTGGGTTTGCAGTAGCTAAGCAAGCAGCACAGCGTTATGCTGAGAGAATGTCCTTCAGGGATAGGCTTCAAATTAGTGGTTTAACAAATACTACCACAATAGGCGCTAATGATGTCTCCATTAAACAAGTAATTATGTTTAACAACAGCAAAATAAGTTCATATAAACCGGATAATGTAGTAGTAGTTAACGGCCAGCCCGGTTTAGTTACTGACATAAAGGAGGATGGACTACTAAAATTTAGGACTTTCATTGACCCACGCAATTACTTTGAAGATCCTTTCCCATCTAGTGATATTGGGATCTTTATGTGCTCCGTAGTTAGCCATGAATACACATGGGTTTCAGTTAAGGACATTGATTGTAAATGTATAGCCATCAATTGTACCAATTACATAGTTGTAATCCCATTGTTGCATACTTTATTGTAAATGCATTTCGTTTCATTAGTGTTTAATTAATGATTATAAACCATTTACTTACGTCTTATGTTCTTTTCAGCCCACTAACAAGAAATACGTTATTGTTGACGCCCTAAAAAAAACAACTTATGATAGCATCAAAGGACTGGATAGTTGGCAATGACCTTTGCGCTTTTCCGAATGAGATGGTCGATATACACCTTCAGAAGTGCGACCAACCTAATGACAATTGGTCACTTATGAAGTGTAAAGTTATTCATGAATTAGGTAAGCTACAATCATGGAAACTATAATTCACTATAGAATCTCTGCAGTCTGCAAAAGATCTGTTAGCTTCCCTGCAAATACTGCAATCTCACCTTGAAAACACTTCAACGGATGAAAACACTCTGCCACATAACACTGAGAAGCCCAAGAGTTCTGTACAATAATCTTACTAACATTTCCTAGAGGTGTAATGAAACGTAAAGAAGATTTTCTTTACAATTCAGTAGACATGGATGTGGCTGAGATGCAGGCTGGGAATATCCGCGTACAATATCCCAAATTTCGTGTTTTCGACAAAGTGATATCTCCAATCGCCAAGTACGTTTAATTACTATTTAGATATTCACTATTTAGTTCAACACAATTAGAGACATCACCATCCACATCGGAATGTAAGCATGTTGGTGGCGCTGTATTGGACCAGTAAGTAAACTGCATCATCTAGTGACCTTTTTCACCTGTGATAGGTTGTATACTGTGGTGCTGAAGATTTCGTCAGCTATCAATGACTTGACTAAAACGATTAACAACATGTCGTCCGCCATTACGAACTTGAATGTTAATGTTAACCAATTGCTTTCAAAGTCTAATGAGCGCGAAAGACCGCATGAATTCGATTGCGGACTGTCAAGTCAGCAGTTCCCTTTGTCATCTGAAGAGGAACTACAGATGCTAGATACTGGTTTGTCGCAGGAAGAAACCAGGGACAGATTTGTAAGTCATTGACATGAATTTAATAATTTGTTACTATTACAGATGGCAATGGTCACTAGGTTATCAGGTGACGATCCAAAAACGTCCATGCGTTTTATTCTTTCGCATCTGCTGACACCGGAGGTTGCCAGTAAATTCACGTTACTTGGCACCTCTTCTAAACGAGCACTACATAAATGCACGTTTTACAGCTGCATACGAAGTAACCTATATCTATTACTTAAACTTCAGGTGCCTTAACTCATCGTTTTTTGTCATCCTCTGTAAATGAGAAAGACCTTGGTAAGCTATACGACATAGCGACACAAGGTTACTTTCACGACCTCCGAGACAAGATGATAAAACGAAATAGAAGAAAAGAAAATCAGGTAGGTACTAATTTAAAGTGATAACCTCCCTACGGCTCTATAGTTACAGTCAACAATACTGACGAACATAACCGTAAGTTCAGCTTCAAGTATTTGGTTGTGCAAAAGCATGTCATTGAGATATGGTTGTGACTTCTTTTTTTTTTTTAAATTCAGAATTCACAGGACGACTACCCCAATTCGGATTAGTCCGTGCAATTGCTTTGATGCTGTACCTCGATTTCAATAAACATTATTCTTTCAAACAGCTTACTCTTTTACCTACATGGGAAACTGTTGAAGTGTTGAGAATGTGTGTTTGAGTTTCAGTGAACTATTGATTAAATGCACATTTCTTATGAATACATTATAACCTGTTCGTTCTTTTTCAGATAATTTCAAATAACAATGTATTAGCAATTGCATTGGATATGCATAACAATCGATGCTTCAGCTTGTGCTCTACTGTTGTACAATAATACGCTTTTCTTTTTCAATAAAATTTTTGAAATATTTACCGCTTTTCCACTGCATTGCAGATATATTTTGGTCTGTTGTTGAAAATAAAGGCGAACATAGGAGACCTTTGGGGTTCTGTCGATGGATAGAAAATAGTAGGTAATGTGTGTATTTAGGCGAAAAGTAGACAATTAAGCGCATAAGTAGGCAATTCGGCGGATATTTAGGCGAAAATGCGACGATTCAGCGGATATTTAGGCGAAAATGCGAAAATTCAGCGGATATTTAAGCGAAAATGCGACAATTTAGCGGATATTTAGGCGAAAATGCGAAAATTCAGCGGATATTTAAGCGAAAATGCGACAATTTAGCGGATATTTGGGCGAAAATGCGACAATTCAGCGGATATTTAGGCGAGAAGTCCGTAATTTGTCGACAAAAAGGCGAAAAAGGGGAAAATCCGCATTATTTCCCTCGGACAGGCGAAAAAGGCGACATTCTGGCGCGTTTTCCCCTATGTTTCCCCTTTCGCTACCATAGCATTTACCCCTTTTTCCCCCTTTATTTCCCCTTTTTGTGTTGTTTGGGATGTCATAAGAAATATAGTAGTCTTCCCCAAACTTTGAAAAAACCCAAAATGTTAGATGATTCCGAGAAAAGTTGTGGGCTTCTCTCAGACATTGTAGGGATTTTTCCCACATTCAGAGGGATTTCGAGGTTTTGTGCCATTATCCCAAAGTTTTCTGTAGAGATTTATCCTAAATTTACCCAGACCGGACAAAATTTCCTCCAAAATAGGGGGATCGGGATGAGGGAATCTGAGAGTGGAAGAAGCAATAACAAAGGGAAACGACTCAGTAACCCTACAAAACGAACTTACAATGATTATTGGGAGTAACTAATGCGAGAAAACATGACAACTCAAATTTGGCGCAAGAGTTTGCAACCTTGTTGAGGATCATATCTACTCTCCAATGCTTTCTTGATGAACAGGTATAAATGGTTCAAATGGTTCAAATGGTTGTGGACGGAATAGAAGAAGCTTTCGCTTAACAGGCTTCCGTGTCTAGTAGCAGGGGATCACCAAATCCTCCAGGCAGGAACCTAGGTATGTTAACAATAAAAGAGGAAAAGAAATTGGTAAATCATAGTGCGATGCTGTCCTTGGTCCTTAAGAATAGGTCAAGTTGCCTCTTGAAGGACTCCTGAGAAGTCGCTTGGACTAGCTCGGCCGGCAGCGAGTTCCAGCTTTTGACAACTCTTAAGGAGTAGAAGTTGTGTCTACATTCCGTCTTGCTATGTTGTGTTTCCAGTTTCTGGGTGTTACCCCTTAGGTTATTGTTCGAACTAAGCTTAAGTAGGTGTTTAAGAGGATGTCCAGAAGTGTTAAGAATACTATAAGCCATTAATAAATCACCTCTAAGACGCCTATATTCTAGTGGGTAAAGGTCTAGTGAACGAAGGCGTTCTTCGTAAGGCTTAGATTTGAGTCCTCGAACTGATTTCGTGGCTCGCCGTTGGATACGCTCCAAAGTGACCTTATCCTTTTGGAGTGAGGGGGGGAGTACTATGTTTCCGTACTCTAAATGGGGACGGATGAAACTATTGAAGATTGTGTGGAAAGTTCTTCCGTCAAACTGACCAAAAATGCGCCTCAACGTTACCAGTGCAAGGTTTGCTCGGAAGGCATTTTTGTCACAGTTAGCGTAAGACTTTAAGTCATGGGGCACCAGGACTCCTAAATCTTTTTCGACTTGGGATACTACTAGAGAGGTGTTTCCTAAGTTGTAACTGTAGTTTGCGACATGTCGCAGATGGACTACTTTACACTTAGAAGTGTTAAAGGTAAGTCCGTTATCGTCTGCCCAACTTTGAAGTCGAGTCAGATCATCTTGAAGTGCCTGTATATCGTCTTGGCTGCGTATCTCTCTCCAAAGTTTCACGTCGTCGGCAAAAAGTAATAAGTCTGACGTTACCTGTTGAGGAAGATCATTTATGTAGATCAAGAAGAGAAGAGGCCCTAGTACCGAGCCCTGGGGGACCCCACTAGGACATTCCATAGCTTGAGATAAAGTGAAATTGACCCTAACCTTAAAGTGTCGATTTTTTAGGTATGAAGTAAGCCAGTCGATTAGAGGTGGTTTGATACCTAGTCGTTTGAGCTTGTTGATAAGACACAAGTGGTTAACCTTATCAAAAGCTTTTGAGAAATCAAGGTAAATGACATCAACCTTTCCCTTGCGATCGAGGATGCTTGTCCATCTGTCCACCGCAGTCAGCAGGTTGGTTATACAAGAGTAACCCTTCCTGAAACCATGCTGTTGGGGTGAGAAGAAATTTAAGGACAGTAGGTAGTCATTTAAACCGTCGCATATCAGGGACTCCATGAGTTTTGAAGGTAACGACAGAAGAGCTACCGGCCGGTAACTTGAAGGTTCATTGCGTCGACCACCTTTGAAAATTGGTGTGATGTGAGCCAACTTCCAATTTTCTGGTAGTTTGCCTCGGCTAAGCGAATGTGAAAACATCACGCTAAGCGGCGTTGCCAGGATTGAGGCTGCCTCCCTCAGTATGGCAGGATGAACCATGTCCGGGCCAGGAGAAGTGTCAAGTCTTAAGTGCTGCAGTTTCCGGAACACCAAGTCAGCGCTTAGGTCCACTTCAGAAAGTCCTGTGGAATTGCAGATGAAACTGTCGTCAATAAAGTTGATATCAGCCGGTTGAAATGTTTGAGAGTAATGGGCCGCCAGAAGGTTAGCGGCGTCGCCATCGTTGTTGGTCGGGCCGTTAGGACCTAGCAGTTGAGAAACTCCTGTTTTGGCTTGACGAAGAGAGGCTGCATAACGGAATAGGCTTCTAGGGTTAGAGGCGAATTTGTCCATAAGCTTTGTTTGGTACTGAAGCCTGTCTTCTCTTATAGCCTTCGTGCATGTGTTCCTGATATGTTTGTATTGCCTATACGCTCCATCGTTATTAGTTCGTTTGTATTCCGCCCAACAGTGCCGTTTGCGGCTTAGGAGGCGAAGGGTACGGTTCTTGATTACTGTAGGTGGCTTGAAGCTTTTGGGAACCGTTTGAGGAACTGAATGGTCTGTAGCACATAAGAGCGTGTGCAGCAAGAAGTCCCAATGACCATCCACATCGATTTGAGGGTGAACATCCCAAGCCACCTGTTGTAGATGGTCATGTAGAGCTCGCACATTCAGCCGTTTAAAATTCCATCGCAAATTATTGTTGGGATACCTTAGCTTAGTTTTGATGACAAAACTGAAGGCTATGACGGCATGATCGCTTTTTCCCAGAGGAGCCAGGATTGAGAGGTTGTCGACTAGGAATTCTTCGTTAGTGAATACACAGTCTAAGCGCGATGGTGTCTGACTGTTTCTCCAACGAGTTGCCGACCTCACATTTTCATATAAGCCCATGTTATCGATGAGGTTGAAGAACCGAGCTTCAGTTGAGTTGTCGCCTCCAGTGTACGTGTGTTCCGCGAAGTTGACTCTAGGGAGATTAAAGTCCCCTAGAATCAGGATGTGTGTGAAACCGAGACGGATAGAGCGGGATAGTCCTTCCAGCATACGACTATCGTACTCGGTGTCGGCAGTTGGCTTCCTATAAATGACTCCGACTAGACACCTGGAAGTACTAGACAACCTTACAGAGCACCATATGGATTCCTCAAGATTGTTAAACTCGAGGTTGTGAACCTGGTGCACCTCCAAGCAAGAGCTTATGTATATGGCTACTCCGCCCCCAATTCCTATTTTTCTGTCGTTGCGGAACAAAGTCATCCCAGGCAATGCTAACTCTTGATCCGAGAACTGAGAAGATATCCAGGTTTCAGATATTCCTATCAGATGGGCCTTGTTAGCGTTGCTAAGTTCACGTAGTTCATCCAGTTTGTTTGGTAAACTCGCGGCGTTCATATATAAGCAGTTTATGCTTTCAATTTGGAACGCATGAGCTTCGTCCTGTTTTTCTGTATGAACCTTATGTGAATGGACAGGTAGCCCACCTATATGAGGTTTGCCGAGGTGGTAGGCCCTGTCCTTTACACGTTTTTTTTATCGTTTAGACAGTCCACAAGTGGAATGGTCAGCTCCAGCTTGCCTTTGTTCTTGGTCCTGACTTCGTATGGCCTATCCGGGTGCATGTGGATTCCAGGTGGCAATCGACGTCTATTAGCACGAAATGCTTCCAGAACTGCAGCCGCCATGTGGGAAGATGGGAAGGTTATCTTCATTAGGCGGGGTCTAAGATCACCGTCCTTCTTGGCTAGTCTCGTCACATGCTGAGTCAGTATGTGTTTGAGCCTCAAGGACTGTTTGATGAATTTCCATTCCCTGATGTCAGAATTTGAGTGAGTAGGGTCTGCATTTTCCGGTATACCTTGGACAATTATGTTTCGTCCGCGGAAGAACTTCTCGCGAGATTCTTTAGGGACGTTACGTATGATATTGCGCTCAGAGTACGGTATGTCGGGCAATATTCTTACGTTACCATCTGATTTCAGTAAGTGACTTGCTAGCAAGACGTCCTCTACGTCGGTAGCATTCTTAAGTGTTACTCGGAGAAGCCTAGGGTGAATTAGATGCTTAGAATCCTTTCCTCGAGTGAGCCGGGTGACCGTCAAAGGCTCTATTCTAGGAAGTTCGAGCTTTTTGTTCAATTCACCCCACAGCATCCTGTCGTTTTTATCCTGCAGACTGAGAGGAAGGTCAGGATTGTCGACGAGGTTCATGATAATGAGAGAATCATCACGAACTGTTGTTAATTTACCAGGTTTCACGATGGGTTCAGGTTTAATAACTTGTTTTTTGGAGGTCAGTGTGAGTTTATGAATCTTGGGCTCTTTATTGACCAGACGAACAGTCTTGGGGGTAGACTGTGCGACTAAATCACCAGTTATTTTCCGTGCAGCAACACTTGGGTTGCTCGACTTAGGCGGTGATGCCTGGTTCTTTTGGGCTCTCTTAACGTGGGTCGAATCGCCTGCAGGGTTTTTGGGAACCACTGTTGTGTTCAGCGACCCTGAGCTGGGGGACCCGAGTTTGCCTAGGGAGTCTAGTACCGTCGACGTAATGATGGTACTGAGTCTCGACACGTCGTCGTTAGTGTTGATGGATGCTCCATCGATGACATACCTATCGACATCCCTATTTTTGAGTCCGTTGCGCGCTCTTGTTTTTATATCAGTTTTTTTACTGTCGTATTCCAAGTTAACTGACAGCTTGTTTCGAAGACCTGTCAGTAGGACAATGATGTTACTCAGCAAGACTACTGCGTCCGTGTTGCACGTGACACATACCCACTTTTGGTCTGACTTGCTGAGTTTGTTGTAAGCAGTTGCTGTCAGATTTGTGCATGCTTCGTGAAACCAACCTTTGCAGTTGTCACACTGCATGCCAGTTGTGACAGCAAAACGGCATCCCGGACGTTTGCATGAGTTTTTCATGACGGTGTTGAAGCAAACTATGTTATAGATGCTTGCAAAAGCTTAAGACCTTTTAAAAAAACACTAAAATGCACACTGAAAACGGAAAAAAACGGACAAAACGAGTGATATAAACTGAAACTAGTCAATACGTGAAAAACAAAAAAACCGAATAGTAAGCTGAGGCAAAACCACAGGTAACTATTGAATATAGTGAAACTCAAAAAAAAAAGTAATCTACCGAACGTATAGCTCAGGATAGATTTTTTAGAACTGAAATGGTACTTTTGTTGCGTAAGAACACAGCAAAAGTTTGATATATGCAAATCACGTTAGGACTAAACTTCCCGTTCGAATATATAGATCAATTGATTATTTTAGCTCTCTTATTGTTGTTCCGACACAGCTCTGGGTCTTTGTTAACGCTCAAATGGCTCTAGTCTGACCACTGGACTGCACTAATTCTGACCACTTCAGTAGATCTTTGTGGGTTTTTATATCATGTAATTTGAGTTAGGTCTCTAGATACCATCGGCTATCACGTAACGCATAA